GTCTATTCTTCCGGTCCATCTTTTCGACGCTTCTCTAAACGGAATTTACATTAGTTTTTCTCCATCCTCTGCTCGGATGACGCCTTATGGAAGCGCAAGTTGTTTGAGGACTTCAACTTCACAGGCCAGGGAACTGCCCGTACCAACGGGTGGAAATTCATTTATCGCGGTCTCTTTGACCCACGAGGTAGTTATCTTTGCACTCTACAGAGTACATATCTCAATATAGCTCACGTCAGTGTTTGTCTGGGGGTAAGCCTCAAATTTATGGATTGTTACTCTGCTTCACTAGCAAAATTTGGAAGAGAGAAGACTAATGGTCGGCTTGGACTTTCGAACGTTCCCAAATCAGCAATCCCCGGCGTTCCATACCCCATGCAAGTTTCCTTGCCAGGAGTCCGTGTTGTCAGCTTGGTGGCTGGAGGGATGTGAGCTATGATCTATCTGAACACACTATATCTACGTGAAGATTAGATTCTAAATTTTGCCGAAGGTCTTTCCACGCGCTGGACTCTGATGGCGGAGTTCATGTTTGGGGTTAATAACCTTCGTGTTGCGCAATTTTCATAAGAAATGCGCTGAACATCTCTTAGGTACACTCAATGGCAGCTGGGGACCATATACTGCGAACAACCAAGGGTTCTCCAGCGAAGCGAAGCAAGCGACCATACCACATATGCTCAAATTACCAACACCAATCCGCAGCATTAGGTGGGTAGTGCATGTCTTATCATATCCTTACTGGTCAACTGAAGATCTACGGCTCGCACGATACTTTTATAATTAGTTGTGGTCGCGTTCATTCGTCTTGCTTGGACAGTGCAAACAAGATCTGGACATTCACTAATTGGGGTCGACCCTTTCGGCTATCATCTCCAATTCTGAGCGATCCTGAATATGCTCCGAAGCAAATTGAGTGCGGATGGACATTCTCTTCCCTTCTGACGAAATCAGGCCACGTTTTTATATGGTGGCCTTTTGCAGGATCCATGGGTGAGGTTATCGAGCAGAAAATGCAAGAAATGGATAGCGAGGGTGACAAAAGGGTATATGCTGCACAAGGTGATATAATCCCTTGTGTCCCCTGGGATTTGGACATCACCCCGACTCGATTACCTCCCATTCCTACTCTTCCAGATCTGCCCAACACAGGTGATACAGAGAAATCAAACGCTGCTCAGCTCGTTCAAATAGCCGGATTTGATAACCATATCGTTGGGTTAACAAATCATGGCCATGTTCTTAAATATGGCTCTCTTCATGACGAAACTGGAGTTCCTCATGGACGATGGGAATATGTAGGTACTTGTTATAGAGCGCAAATGGTTTATAATGACTGAGGCTTCCGCAGCTCCCTCATTTCAGCGAGGTTGACAGGCTCAGAGAACAACCAGCTTTCTCAGATGAAAGCGATGCCGCGAAGCTCAAGCTTCCCCAAACGATGAAAATTACACATGTCAGTGCGCTTCTTTTTGTCCAGGTAGCGAGTTGTCCAGATGCTGACTGATCGCCGAAAACAATAAGATATCTGCCAACTTCCTCCATTTCGTGGCTTATTCGACTGGTCCTTCTTCGATAGTTCTCGTGGGCGACACAGTTGCAAACTCGGAGTCCCAGCCAAAAATAATCCGCGAGTTGCAAAATAAATCTGTCATCTCCGTCGTCATTGGCGACTATCATAATGCCGCTTTGACTGCGAATGGGAAGCTTTTGACATGGGGTGCATACTCAAATGGTGCTTTGGGTCTAGGCGATCCGTTCAAGCTTGGACCGGGTACCCCAGGTGGGTTTGCGAGCTCTGAAGACCGGACGGCCGCCGGAAGACATTTGAGGAACCCTCCGAGTGTAGCTATCCCCACCGAGGTCAGATTCGACCATAACCTCAACAAACCCAGGGATAGATTCTGTTTTGCGACAACGGCTGCTGGATGGCATACCGGGGCTTTAGTAATTGATTTGGAAGTTCGTCTGATCATCTTTCATCTTTGTGACAAACTAATTTCGTCTTGACGGTTAGCCTGGAGAGGGCAAAGACGAGGCCGAGCAAATCGAAGGCCTGCAAAAAGGTTCATCTCGTCCTGGGCCATCTCATAGGCAATTGGAGATGCCCCCCATCGTACCATTACCAGGAATATTTCGCGTTGGACATGCTGGTCGAGGTAATTTTGGTGGAGTACGCCGTATCCAGCATCCAGATAGCGACACCTCATAGACTCCACATGATCTTTGCGAAGATCTGAGAATAGCCATTGCAGCGCCAACGATATGTAAAGTGTTAAACCCTGTATTGTGGAAGAAAGAAGTCAAGCAATGTAATGAGAAATTGAAAATCCGAGATTGTGACATCGAAAGAATTACCCAGTCTCCGAACTTCGACTGTAAAAGATTGATCTTCACAGAAACCATAGAATTCCATTGGTCAGTTCCCTGGAAGGAAGTCGAGTTCGAAACAGGTTCGAAAGATAGGTATCAAACGGTAAACCCGCACTCTGGGACCACAGTCGTCCTTAAAATATACGTTTTGGTCGGACCATTGAAATAGATAAGCCTTGTAAGGATGTTTAAAATTGAACATAACTAGACTGAGCTGTGCCCGAAACTTGAAAGACGAGTCCAGTTTGTTGCCCGTGCCCGGGAACTTGCGGCGAAACGAAAATTAAAAAAGGGAGAACTAAACATGGTTCTATCCTTCCGATGGCCATAGATGTCTTATGCAGTGGTAGCAAGTTCTAATCTGAGCTAAATTTTGATTTTCAAGCGATTCAATAACGAGCAAAAGAAGAAGGGGTGCATGCGGCCCATATTCTTCAGAGGGGGTTAGAATTGGAATTACTGAGAAGCTGTGGCATGTGCAGTCGTCTTACATAATCATTTGAACACGTCAGCCGCTTCGCACCTGCTAGTTCAGCACTTGTTCCGAACATTTGTTTACATGAAGAGGCTAACGAACGAGCATATCTTTCTTCTGGCTGAGCCTACCAGGCCTCTTTGTCAACTTAGTCAGAAGTCTGTGATGAAATAGCACTTTCGCGGTCAGCCTCGAATTTAAAGGTTCTGAGAAGAGGCATCTCTGTTATCGCTGGTTCTCCATGGAGAGGCCCTTCCTTCCCAAGGGAGTGGCGTATGCTCAGATTCCGACGAGTTCCTCGATACCCTCCTTGGATATACGAATTTTAGCTGATGCATCTCTCCAGCCATCGCTGTTGTCGGAATCTATCTCTATTTGCTCTCTTTCCAGCTTAGAATCGAAATCCCCCACACCTTTTCCCTCCGTCAAGATTCTTCCATTTCGATTCATCGAACTCGGTGACCAACTCAAGATGTTCTCAGTTTCCGAAATGTCGAGGCATAATGCTTCGACTTCCCTCGTTTCCAGTCCTACCTCGCCTCGGCTTAAGCTGATGCTCAAAGAATGTTTGAGTATTCCGAAATGGATTGTAAGCTTCGCTTTGTTATCTATCCAGAAATCAAGTACTCATTTCTGAGCTTCAAGGAAATGTGTGCTGCGTTGCAAGCGCCTGGTCATATTCCTTGGGAAAGTCTGCAAGAGACTCCTTCAAAGGATTGGAGACCGGAGGGATCCATTTTCTCGCCAGAATGTTTTTCTCGTACATTATCGCAGTTCAGGGCTCCTTTGAGCAAGACTTCGCCTAACTCCAACCCCCTTACAAAGCCATCGACGATACGATCCTTTGGCCTTGCGGATACCGATCTACTCGACGAACTTCAGGGTTCCAAGTCGCTTCTGGAAGTCAACACGCGAGTTCGTGCTGATAAACCTCCCGCGCGCCTCGCTGAACCGCGGAAGTTATCTTTGCCTTCTTTGGTCGTCTCGAATTCCCAATTCACTTTTCCACTTCCTCTAGAGCCTTCTCATAGCGTCTCAAGCTCTCTGGCTTCTCAGAGGGGTAAAAGGGCCCCACCTAGTCTACATCTCAAAAAAACAAAGGATCTTTCCTATCCAGATATTCCTACAGCATTTCTTGGTTCCCCATCACAACATCTCCCGCAGTTCGAGTACGCAAATCGCGATAATGATCCAGCCCCGCCCTTCGAGGAGATGATCACCAACCTTCGCTTGCAATGTTTAACAATGTCCCTACAGACTCCTCAGGATGCTTCCTTCAACTCAAGGTCTTGCTTAGGATCAGAGTCTGCATCCAATATTGATTCGATAGACGACAAGGCAACCACCCTGGATAGTGACGAATGTAATTTTGCGACATCCTCATACCCGGATTACGAATTTCTCCCTGCCTCGCGGGCATATGAAGTTAACCGTCCTCGCCGTCCTATACCCCGTAAAAAGAAAAGCGAGCCTGATTTGTTTCCAAGCAACGCAGAAAGATACAAAATGCTTCCAAACATTGAACCCAAGATCAACTTCCACCCTGTAATTCCTCTCGCCGTCAAGAGTTCTGAAGCGGGCTTGGTACGGGACACCACGTCTTCACTTCGCTCGGCAATGACAAAAGGACGGGGACCCCATTGTAGGGCGCCTTTGAAGAATGTTCGATTTGTGTTGACACATGATGAAGTCATGCAAGACGCGGAGTCTTCGGCAGCTTTGCAAGAAGATAAAATGGTGCTACAAGACCGACTAAACAGCGAGCATTCGATGACTCCCCCGCAACTGACGCGTAAGGGTTCTTCATTACGTTCCACATGGAGAAAGGCTCGCTCTGTAGCTATCAGCTTCCCCTCCCGCAATTCGGTTACGACAGACTCTGTTGATCCGACTGTCTTTCGCCCCCTACACAATCGCTGGGAAGACATTCTCTGAGCCGTATTATTAAAGGCCTATCTTTTCCACTTGGAAGGACAAGAGGCATACCTCAGTAGTTGTATCTAAGATGACCACGGATGGAGCAATGGTAGGGAAAGAGGGCAAGATTCGCGATAAGAGAAGCCGTCTGCCGATCCCTCTTCGAAATATATTTATTCATTTCTAAGTAATTCTACTTCCGGTGTATAGAAGTAACTAGGAGCCTCAAGGCATCGGCCTGATGGTCTAGTAGTATGATTCCTTGTTAGGGCGCTTGCGTTTCGAGGAGGTCCCGGGTTCAATTCCCGGTCAGGCCCGCGTAGTTCTTTTTGGACGGTCGAATTTGTGTATGTCTATTTAAATTTGCTCCCTCCCTTTTTTCTGTTTCATCTTTTTGTTCCTCCTCACTACCCTTGGCCGTTTTTGGCTGAAGCGGAACGATGTCGGGGTCTTGTTCATAGTTATAGAGATCTTGATTTTTTGTGCTGCCAATACATTCACTACATTTATTCACCCTCCATCATCATGCAGCGATGTTAGATCAAATGATGATACGGAAACAGTCACGCTTTCTCACGATCAAAAAGCGCGTCTTTTATGTTTGCAATTTGCAATCTCATCTTGACCTATGCCACTCAGCACGATTCCGACCAGTCACTTATCTCTCCTGTAATACCAACTGGAAGGTTTTTATACCCTTATAATTCTCTCCTTTCAGATAATCCCATTGTAGGTGAGCATTTTCATTCGATAGTTGTTTAAAGGATGAAACCGTATTATATTTGCACGTCAGTCAGAGCAACGGTTCCTTGAATCTGCTGCATATGACGCTATTTTGCTTCACTGATCTATCTCAACCTACTGTTCGTTGATTTCTTTGCTGATATTTCTTTGTAGCTTTACTGGGACATCTTCGTCCAACATCATCTGTCTTACAAATACGTTAGCGACAGTGAGTTTTGCATGTTTGTGTCGGAACAGACAAGTTAGAAACCACGTACCCTACTTGTATCTCTGCCTTTCTTTAGCTACTGCCATTGCCCTTGCCCAGCGCTGTTTTCTTGACTGCAACTTTTCTATTTCCAACACGATCGAATTTCATGTCGAGCTCCACAGGTGTTCGAAGTTCCACGGCGCCTTCGGGTTCTGCAAATGGTACGCAGGCGAAACCGGGGCTGGTGCCAACTAATAATGTCACCGTTGCCGAGGGTCTAACATATCGCACCCGTATCGAACCCACTCTCACCGTGGACGATGTAATAAAGCAGCTTTGCGTCAATCTAAAGATTAAAGAACCGCCTTCTCATCTTGCTCTGAGGGACAACGATACCGATGAACTGGTGACAAATGATAATCTAAGGCGGAAAATCAAGTACAAAGTCAATCTTAAGTGAGTTTCTTTGTATATCACTTGCCTTATAACAGTTGAAATTTGAACGACACAGGCTGGTAAACGCGCCTGCTCGTGAAGCGAGAGAAACTGCGGAGAAACTGAGGAATAGGAATGATATCAATGATAAAAATTTCAGATTAGCCTTGTTCTCTTTGCAGAAGTTCATACGAGTCAGTGAAAGATCCCATCTACATCTCTCGGAATATAACACTTGTATAGGAAGAGGCCTTCGCTCGCGAATTTCTCGATCACAATGGGCTCAATGAACTAGTTGACGTTATATACTCAACCTCGGGCAATGCTCTTGCGGTAAGCTTTTTTCGACCTTAGTTTTTAGCCTCGCATCCTTATTCAGAGTTTTAGTATGCCCTTACTGCAGTTCAGAACTTAATGGAACATGAATATGGATGGGCAACCCTTGGAGATGATTTCATTCTGAAAGTCGTACAAATCCTCTCATCCCCGCAATCTCCGATCAATGTATGTCGCCCCGCAACTGCCATTCTCAAGAAGCTCGTCGAAGCCGATCCAGCCAGTATAACTGGACCACAGATAGCAAGTTCGAGCCGGAGCCTTCCTGCAGCTCCACCAGGATCCGTCTATCGTTATGGCTTTCAAGTGGTCTTTGAGCAAATGAGAAAGGAAAGCGGATTTTTGGAAACCGTAGTAAATCGTCTAGGAAGTGCAGACACAGCCATGGCACAATATAGGTAGGTCCTATCGTTCATAGAAAATGAAGAGCAATCTGACCACGGCTCTCCGTACAGCATGATGCTTATTAATTCTCTCCTTGCTCATGCCAGCGACGCCAGATGGGAGGAGTTTATATCAGAGTTAGAGAGGCTCAAGGTTCGAAAGACTGTTGTGGTAAGTAGACTGAGCTCTGTCTATCTTCCGGAAACGAAGGAACTAAAATATCCCAGCGATTGATGTCGTTGCACACGACCGAGGATTTGACATCATGCATATTGGACTTCCAGGCCAACATTGTCCGTGTAACGTACAGAAAGAAAACAACGATTGTTGACCCGGACGAAGATGAATCCCACGCTGCCGCTTTGAGGTCGGTATGGGCTTGCAGTAAATTGGCAGAAGAAGTCGACTCGAATGGTCAATTATTGAAATGGAGAAAGCTTGGGTTCGAAACAGAAGACATTGTACAGGACTTCAGTGAAGTAGGAGTGCTTGGGTTAGAGTGCTTCGTGAGTACCCTTCAAGCCCTCGTCGCAGACCTGTTTTCATTTTTATCTTTTACGCCGGTAGCAAAAGTTTGTGGAGAGTGACCCCGATTTTGCCAAAGTAAGGAATATACGTCCATGTCACCACTTTATCGAGGGATAATAACAGTTTTTTGTAAGGTGGTCCTTGAGCAATTGAGTAGACCCGAAGGCCGAAGATGCCCTATTGCAAGAGCCTCCAATGAAGTCGTCGAGTTATTATCTGAACACTGGGCCATATTTGCTCCTGGCTGTAAGGTACCTTGTTTTAGGATCCTTTGTTGAATTAACAACTTGCTGTTAGATTCGACTTCGACCACCTTCCAACCATTTTTTCTCGACTACTACAAAGTTCATTTCCTGGCGACCCAATTTTTCATACGGATGTGGAGTGAAAGTGGTGCTGCGAGTGATGACTTCACCCGCGTTGCAGCTTTGGTTCGCAGCCAGTACGTTTTCGATCCTCTCTTCACAACACATCGTTTACTCATTACCGACTAGGGTGAAGGTAGCACTGCGCAGGGAAAACGTCCGCCCATGGCATGAAGTTGAACACGATTTCGTCGAATGTGAATACCGTGCCGTGAGAGATCGACAGATGAAAGAACTCGAACTCGAAGACGATTTGCTGAGCAAGGTTCCGGTCCGGTATGTCCAGAGCATTGACTTTACTTGCTAGGCTCTTAATTTTCCACAAGAAATCTTCGTGCTAAACTTTACAAGGAGTCCTTTGAGTTTGTGAAACAGCAAAGAATTCAATGTTTACTCCAAGGTGCTTGGTTCGTAAATGCTCTTCCGCAATCTTCCCCACGAGAACCCGTGCGGAGGCCTAGCCGACCATGGCGTTTCATGCGACTGGTAAATTACCCTAAGCGTGTGTGGCATTCAGCCAACTTACTTAATATACAGGACAGTGGGCTGAAATACCTACACTACGTCGACAGTGCAGTCAAATTTCCCGTTCGCCAGGGCCTGGAAGATCTTCCTGAAAGGATTGATGTATCCCTGATAAGCGAAATAGCAACAGGCACATGCGCCCCTCCTCCAAACGTGTTGCGAGACCAGAGCGATCTTCCTCCTACCTCCGCCCTTGTGCCCTCCCCTCTTTCTTTCTCGTTATTGAGCGCCCATGAAGGTTCCTTAGCAGACTTAATTGCTCCTGATCAATCGCGTTGGGCTGATTGGACCGACGGTCTGAATATGCTGAGAAGAGACGGGGGTCACGTAGCTTCAAAGGAAACGGCTGGATTTGTTCAAGCACTAACCGAGATTGGGCTAAAAATTAAATTACTCGGTTGGTACTTCGATTGATAGCATCATGTGTTTCACTCATCTATCCCGTGAACAGACCTGTCTGGAGAAATGGTTGAAATACCCAGTGGTCTTGTGGCTGGACCTCCACCAATGAATAATGACTTTTTCTTCTCAGAACTGATGTAATTTAAAGGGACTCGCAGAGAATCGTGTACAGGGACTTCAATGTATATGTTGCAGCTGAGTTAAATGTGGTTTTAAGATGTGATTTCCTATATGCAAGTAACTAATGCCAGATGACACGTGGGATATCTATATGATGAATGCAGTTGATGCAGAAAATATGAGTAAGTGATGATGAGTTCGCGATATTGCGACAGTAGTACAGATGTGCAGAATATGTGAGCGAGTGGAAAGAGATAGTGCACCCCAGGCCATGGCTGAAGATCAACGGGGGTTGAACCCGAAGCTTCAAAACAAGAAAAAGAGAGTGAAGGATGAACGTCGAAACAGTTTGGTATACTAAGAAAGTCAGTCAGTACTCTTGACAGGAGGTCAACTAGTGACCATTGACTCCGTTTGTCTTTGATTGAAGGGCAATATATTCAGCGCCAGCCTTGAAGAAAGGTTTGAAAATCGCATCGGATTCGTGGAAATCATTGTGGACAACATTGACGAGGAAAGACGTATCCATAAACTCGGTAATCAGTTTCTGGGAAGGCGAGTCGTGTTCATAAAGCTTAGCCCACTGAGTACCGAGTTCATATGCCTCATCCTGTATAAACTTAAGTAACCTCCGTGACACAATTTGAAGAAGGCTGACCTTCCAAGCCATGAAACTGACGGCTTCGACAATGGTAGGCTGAATAATTTCTTTACCAGGGAAAACACCCCATGTCACTGCATTGGGACCATCAGAGTGCGTGTTGGTCCTCAGATCGCCACGCTTGTTGATCACATAGTATGTGATGTTGCTATCTCGCTCGATCTGAGTCAAGAGCAAGGACAATAGAGCCGGGCTGACGAAAAATTCGAGATATGCCTATGACTGGGATTTCAGAAAATTTATAGGTTAGTGCAGGGAAAAAGGCAGACCTTCTGGTATACATAGCCATTGCTTGGACCCCAGCCAAAGATCTTATCGTCACTTCGAACACCATTTACGGCTGGTTGAGAGTTGATCGTCAAAAAGCCGAGTTCGTTAATCCGAGCCAACTGCTTGGAGATGACCGACGTTTCGCTAGAAGGTTCTTGGTCTGACCAAGGCAAAGCTTTCAGGTCGGACGTACAGAAATGAGAGAAAAGACTCGCGAGGTCGGCAAACGTTGTAGGGTGGCCCCACAGCTTGAGTGCATCCTCTTTCTGTAGAAGTAATTTTTATTAACGGGTGTCATACAACAATACTAAACTCCAACTCACGGTTTGTTTGATCCAAACACCATAACCGTCAAGC